TCTATAGGTAAACTTCATTGGAAAACGATATGTATAACTCCTGTTGAATTACTCTCTTACCAATAAAAATTCTCTTACAGGGAAATATTTTGGGATTACTGGGGACAGAAGATATTAGTATCTTTATGGCTATGTATTGGTATATTGTTTTATTAAAAAGCAATTGCTTACCAAAGGTTGTGGCCACCATGTATGAGAGTATACACATTTCATGACAGACTTTTCAGTTTTAGATACGTATTTTTTTAAAAGCCCTTAATTTAGTTAGTAAAGGCAATTTGCATTTTTATGATGGTAAAGAATCCCTTTTTGTTAGTTTACTGCCGAAAAATTAGAAGCATCACGTTAAAAACTAGTATTTTTAGAAAAACAACCACCTACCATCCAAAAATTCCACTATCATTCGTCAGACAAGTTTTTTATTAAGTGCCCAATATGCATATTGTTGTGCTAGCTAGGTCATGGTGTGACTTCGTCAGAGTAGGTCCCTGTCCTTGTGGGGGAAATGCCTAGTAGAGCAAGTAATTAAACAATTGGATGTTTAGTTATAGTTTCTTTAAGGGTTATAAAGAAAGGGCTAAGGGCACTAAAAGAGTGCCTAATTTTAGACTCAGGAGTCAAGAATGCTTCTCTGAGGAAAAGACATTTCAGCCAGAAATCTGAAACTAGCCATGTGAAGTGGGAGACGGTCGGGGAGTGTGAGAGGTGGGAAAAGAGCGATCCCGAAAGATGGAACAGGTGACTTGGACTGAGCAGAAGGTGCATATTAGATCCAAACGCAGCTGGCAGTGGGCTGCCAAGGTCAGGCCAGGTGTAGGAGCTGGGCCAGGGAGCAAGGACGTTAAACGTTTTTAAGCAGGGATCAGATTTGTGGTTGCAGATCACTGCTGCAGCATGAAGAATGTAAGTGAATGGTGGGGGGTGGGAAAGAGTGAACATGGGATAACTTTTTTTGACCATAAAATTTTAAAAACTCTTGACATGTTCATATATTCTTACAGAAGATTTAACTACCACCACGTGACCCTCTCCAGGGATAACCTGGTTTAACAGTTTGCAAGTTCGTCTAGTCCTTTCGTGTATATAAGCTATAAGTAAATATATATGTATGTATTCCAATCCAGAGTGGGGTAAAACTATATTCATCTTTCTTTTGATTTAATTTTTCATTTATAAAGTTTGTTTGTGTCTAAAATCAATTGTATCTTAACAGCTGTGTTATATGCCATTATGTACCATACTTTAACTACTTGCATGTTGATGGACATATTTAAAGTTTTCTGAAGTTAATTATGCCCTGAAAAATTCTTGTTTCTACAGTTTGAAGCATGTGTGGGACTATTTCTTTAGAATATCATACCAGAAATAGAATTGCTGAGTGAAAGGTATGCACATTAAAATTATGTTAGTGTTATCAAATCATCCTCCAAAGAGGACAGTGTATTTTTCCCATATCCTTTCAACACTGGCTATCTTTAGTCTCTTAAATGACAGACCATATCTTATTTTTTAAATTTGGATTTTCTTGGTTAATGTTGAGGTTGAACATGTTTTTATTGAATATTTTCATTGCCTATCACCTTTTTGAGCTTGTTTCGTCATATCTTGCCCATTTGTTTTTTCTGTTGCGTTGTTTATCCTAACGATTTGTGGTAGTTCTTAATTGAACTGCATGTTAATCCTTCAAAATTTTTTTTCTGCAGAAAAATTTGAAAAAGCCCTTCACCTTAAAATATATACTATTTGCTTCCTTCTAGTATTCATTTCTTTCACTTTTAATCTTTAGTTCATCTGAAATTTATTTTCATGTAACTTGCTTTCATATTTTTGTAAAAAGAGCTTGTTATTTGTAGAATTGGGTTTTATAGTTCAAAATACATAGTTATTAAAATTCTAAATCTGGAAGAAGCTGGGTTTTTCCTTAGCAGGTTAATTCTCTATGGTGAGTTTTTATTTTCAAGGTATAGGATAAATGAAAGTCAGAAAACTTGTCTTATTCTAGGAATGTCAAAGTTGTAAGTGCATTTTGAACATTTTTTTTCCTTAAAAAACTTTTTTGTTATGGAAAAGTTCAACATATACAGAAGTAGTCAGTAGAGTGTAATAACCCCATGTACCTATCATCCAGCTTCAATAGTTATCTGGCCAGTTTGTTTCATCTCTTCCCACTTAACCCCCTTCCTTGTATTATTTTAATGCAAATACTAGACATCACATCATTTCTTCTATAAATATATCAGTATGTATCTTGAAGAGATAAAGACTCTTTAATCATTCAGGTTATTCTAAAAAATTTTATAAAATTATATTTTTATCCAGTGGGAAAATGGAACAAGATATGTCAGTACAGTTGTTTCATATTAAATGATCTACTTAAACAGTGATGTTTGTGGCATAAAATCACAGAAAATGTATCCGTATCTTTTTCCTGATGAGAGTATAACTTTGAAATAACATTTTCAGTTATTAAAAATTTAATATGTCAACCTAAATCAAAGCAATGTGTTTAAGTTATGTCTCTACTGTGTATAGTATTCTCATTAACAGTAAAGAGGACACATTTTTGGAAGTTAAAAAAAGATAAGGACATTTTTAAACATATCTTTAATACTACCATTTTATCTAAAATAAAAATGGCAATAATTCCTTGGTTATCATAAACAATCCAGTCAATGTTCAAATGTGTGTGTGTGTAGTTTATATCCTTGGGAAGTTCCAGGGACAGCTGTCATGGCTTTGCCAGTTTACATAATTACGTAGGAGTGTGCATACTTGTAAAAGGAGAGTACAGCCCTCAACTTGTAGCTGTTGAATTATTTTTAATATGTTGGTGTTTATGTTACTATTTCAGCTTTTATATTTATCATGTTTACAAATGCATCTAGTGTAAAGCATCAACTGGTTATGCAAGATTTGTTAATTTTATATATATAAAACAACAAATGTGCGTCTTAAATTTTTTTAATTTTGAAATAATTTTAGACTTATGTAGAAGTTAAAACAGTAGTACAGAGTTCCCATATACCTTTCACCTAGCTTTTCCCAGTGATAACATCGAACAGCTTTAAGAAAAAAAGTTTATTTGAATTAGGATCTAAAATAGATCCACCCATTGCGATTGTTAAAAAAGAAAGTTTATTTGAATTAGGATCTAAAATAGATCCACACATTGTGATTGTTTGATATGTATTTTAAGTCTCTCTTAATCTGTTCTTTCCTTTGCATCTCTTTACTTCCTCCCTTGCTATTTGTTGAATAAGCTGAATTAATTTTTTTTGAAAAATTCATCATGTATGTTTTGTTTGCATTTTCATTCAGCTTCTTTTTAACTGTGATCTTTGATGATTTCTTATATCTAAAATGAGAGTTTTACATGAATGGCACTATGATGTGGTATACAGAGAAAGACCAAGATTTGGAGTCAGAAAATCAAGAGTTTGAGCCCCTGTTTCATTATTTATTAAATAATGGACTTGGCTAATGGTTTAAGTCTCTGACCCTTAGGTTACTCATGGAAATAAGGCATTACTTTGGGGAGTTTTTCTGAGGACCAAGTAAGATTATTTACTAAACATATGTTTTACTTGATGAAATGTGCTGGGTGGTGGCTAGCTATTCAAAGTAGGAATTACTTCATCAGGGAGCTTACTGTAAAGACAGACATGCAAATGAATAATTAAAATCTGATTAGTGAGGCAGTAAAATATTTTGAGGGTTCAGAGCTGTTTCTCGGAGGAGATATAGGTAGAGTTGTTGAATTAATAGGAGTAAGGAGCGATTCTCTGACAGCAGTCTGGGATAACAAGTACGACCTTTCACAGGCAGCGGAAATGAGACTGGATAGCAAGGTGCAAAGGGAACTGCCTGAAAAAACACCCGGAGATAGAGACTGGAGCCAGGTGTTATGTATGAATGCTTTGTAAACTTGAAAGCTATTTAAAATTTTAGTTATTTCCTTGGGATCTAAGAAGATGAACGTACAAATGACAAGTACCATGGCTTTTCCAGTTTACCTAATTATGTAGGAATATCCATACATGTATGCATGTATGATAACCTTTAATTTATAGACACTTATTTTTTAATGTAATAGTATTTATTTAAAGTTAGCTTTTATTTTTATAAAGTTTATAAATGTATCTAGTTGAAAAAGTCATCTAATGGGAAGGCTTCTTTTGAAAATTCGCACTTTCCTGTATTCGCTCCCTCTTCAAGGTAACCACCCTCACCTTTTAAATAACATACTCTTATTGCTGCTTCTTGATTTTTGGTTTTAGAATTACCTGTTGAATTCCTACTCGGGAAGATGAGGAATTAGCTCTCTGTCCACACCTACCTCTGTTATATCCTTCATTCAGTTATGGTTAGGTCAATACTTAGTGTTTATGTATTATACTAAACTATTAGCTGAGGTGTGTAGTATACTGTGATTACTTTCCCTTTTCTGCACAACTTCTTGTTTTCTCTGGAATGAATAGTTGTCAAGTAACATTAATTTGATACAAATAATTGTTTATATTAAGTAGCAGTTTAAAATCTGTAAGTAATAGAATATTTGACAAAACCTTATACTTGAAATATAGTTGTATTTTAGTTGAAATAGGTGATTTTTAAAAATTTTTATTGTGAAATCTCAGAAGATAAATGGAACTTCTTAGGATTATTATCATCAAAGGATATCTTAGTGTATGGCATTGTCTCCTAATGTTTGTGGGGATATGGCTATTAGACATGTAATTTATTGACCCAAAATACCTGATGAACTTTAAAAATGTTTGCCCTTTCCTACAAAATCAGCTTCTTATAAAGTAGTCCACAATGCTTAGAAATGCTGTAAGCCATAGTTCTATTTTATATAAAATCTTTAAAAACTTTGAATTGAAGTGGCCAGCTCTGTTTTTTTCAAATTTACTCGACCAGGAGCCCTTTTAAATAGCATATTTACTAATGTCCACAAGACTTTACTAAATAACATCATTTTTCTAACTGCAAATTCAGGAGTCTTCTGATAATCTTTTTCTCTCCTGTTTTATAGTGACAAAAATGCTGAGATTCTTCCGGAGAACGCTTGGGCGGCGGTCAATGCGTAAACATGCTGAGAAAGAAAGACTCCGAGAAGCTCAACGAGCTGCCACACACATTCCTGCAGCTGGAGATTCTAAGTCTATCATCACATGTCGAGTGTCCCTTCTGGATGGTACTGATGTTAGTGTGGACTTGCCGGTATGTAAGTCTCGCTGACCTGCAAATTCTGTGTGAGATCACTTTCTTCATTTGAGCTTTCTACTTATTAACTTCCTGGGGGCATAGGTACTAAGGGTTAGTGTGAATCAGGCACTGTAACAGACAGGTACTGTACATGTATCAGGTAACCTTAGGAACCTGGCCTGATAGTATTTTTCTGGAATTAGTGGCCGTTACCTAAACATTTAAATGATAGGGCAGTTATTGGTGGGAGTCATTTGTGTGTGTGTTCTTTACACTGACAGTACATAGTGTACTCCGGTGGATTTCTCACAATACTTGTTGAGCAATTATTAAAGCAATGAGAATCTTTGGGAATCAGAACAATACTTATATGTATATTGTAAGACTTTCATTTCTCTATATGTATATGCAGTTTTCAGGACATTCCTAACCTTCCTCAAAACAAATGCTTCATCCGTAGTTTGGAATGCTTGCAGAAATTTTAATGAAATGAAGTGAGAAAAAGGACTTTCTTTATATTTCTCAGCTCTGACTGCCTATCTCTCATACACTGTGATCGTTATTTCAAGACAAGGTCTTGTTATTATGTTCAAATTTTGGGTAGATTTTTTTTTTACCGTTTGAATAATCCTAACTCACAGTGTGAAATAGTCCAATATATTTGAAAAGGGTTAACTTATTCCTTACAGGCAGTTTTTTACTAAAGCCAAATCTCTTCTGTCTTTGTTCTGTATTAAAAGATTTACATAATTAAGCTGTAAAATGTGTGATTTGATGAGAGCATCATTGGATGTTCTGCAGTGTCTTCCCTCCCCACAAACTTTTTAGTACACACTCATTTACCCAAAATAGAATTTTTTTAAAAAGTCTTTTTGTGAGACATGATAGCTGGTTGCTGCAGTGATACATTAGTTGAATAAGCTCTGGAAGTCCATAAGCTCACAGACTGAGAGAGTAAGGAATTGGATGGTTGGTTTAAATGAATATTGTGATTATTGATATAATTTAGAATGTACTTAGTATATACCTTATACATTTTAAAAATAATGGAATATAAAATTAAAGACACAGGATTTCTTAAAGTGTTTTCAGGTCATTGTAATAAATAATATCTTTTTACATTAGAGTGGACATTTTTAGGGTTTTTGATTTTAGACTTTAAGGCATTTAAATTTTCTTTCTGTAAGCGCTTCTTGAAGATTTGCCAGACATTCCAATATGTGATACTTCATGAGGATAGTTTTCATAGTCATTTCTTATTTGATAAGTATCTTGAGATTTTTGTGTATTCTATTAAAATATCATTAGGTATGTGGTGAAAAGCCTGAGATTGCTGTGTAAGAGACTGGGAAGAAGTTTCTTATTACGTAATGTTTGAAGTATGAAGTCTCAGGGTTGTTAATGGAGAGGCTGATACTAGGAAAGTAGAATTTGTAGGAGCTTTTTAAAAAGGCAGTGTATTGTGGAGGAGAAAGAGCACTAGGTTTTAAAGTAGTGGAACAAATGGCTAGTGACTGGTATAGAATGGTTTCCTATGCTTGGTATGCTCAGGAGGGTGTATGTGATGTTTGACCAAGCCCAGAAATGCAAGCTGGCCTCTCATGCAGACAATTGCAGTGAAAAAGCCAAGAGTTTTAGATTTGCCTCTTCGCGGAACTAGAACAATTGCCTTTTCAGCTCTGCAGGTGAAATCCTAGAGTTAGTAAACTAACTCTCAATGCTTGCATGGGTATAAAATGGGCGTTGGATTGCCAGCTAAACTGCTTTACTAAAGAAAAAAATAGGCAAAAGGAATATTAATTTCTGAGAAGAAAAGTCTTCCCTTTTTCTGATTTAGCTTCTCAGTCAGTGTAGTATGATTCTGAAAGATGATTTAGAATTGATTTTGGAAATTGAAGGAAGCACATACTCACTTCCTATTAGGATTAGGGTCACTAGTGATTGTTGAAAGCCAGCATGGAACTATGATGATTGACCAGGCAATATGTAAGGGATTATATGTGATTAAATACAGTAATTTAAGTCTGTAGACTTCAAATTAGTATGTACAAGTAGTAATGGTCATTTTCTTCTTTCTGCTCTCCTATTGTCTCAGAATGGGAGTTGGGGGATTTAAATACCTTCTACTTTTTTTTTTTCCTTCTTTTTTTTTCAAGGAACTAATACAGTGTTAATGCCTTTCAGTAAATGAAAAAGGCATCAGGTAGAAATTTCTATCTTATTTTAACATTTTATCTTCGGAAATGCCACAGTAACTCCTTTGACTTATGAGTTTAATATTGTTTAGTAAATAGGCTGTCTTTTAAAACACTGTATCTCCTAAGTTTTAAATTAATAGGAAATATTTGATTAACCGGTAGATAATTTTATATACTGCTTTGCTGATATAGATACTCAAGTCTTTAAATTATATAGACCATGTATTATTATTCCTTTAAATAAAAGAGAAAACATCTCATGCACAAATTGGAAGACTTAACATTAAGATGGAAGTATACCCAAAACTGATCTACAGATTCTACATAATTTCTATAAGAATACCAGCTGACTTATTGGTAGAAATTGACAAGTTGATTTTAAAATTCACATGGAATTGCAAGGGACCCAGAATAGCCAAAACAAAGTTGAAAAAGAACAAAGTAGTAGAACTCACACTGCCCAGTTTTAAGATTTACTGAAAACAATAGAAGTCAAGATGGTGTGCTACTGGTCCAAGGATAGACACACCCAGATCAGTGGAAGAGAATAGAGAACCTAGAAATAAATCCATACATCTATGATTATTTGATATTTGATGGGTGCAAGAACCAATCAGTGGGGACAAGAATAGCTTTTTCAACAAGTGGTGCTGGGAGAACTGGATAGCCGGATGCAAAATAATGAAGTTGGAACTTTACCTCACACCACATATAAAAAATAACTCAAAATGGGTCAAAGACTTAAACATAAGAGTTAAAACTATAAAACTCTTAGAAGAAAATATAGGGATAAATCTTCATGTCCTTGGATTTGACACCAGTTCCTTAGATATGTCACCAAAAACATGAACAACAAAAGGAAAAATAAATTGGGCTTTGTCAAAATTAAAATCTTTTGCACCTCAAAGGATACCATCAAGAAAGTAAAGAGAATCACAAAATGAGAGAAAGTATTTGCATAATTTTAGATCTGACAAGCACTTGTATCCAGAATTGTAAAGAATTGTTGCCCGGCCAGGCATGGCTCAGCGGTTGAGCATCGGCCTAGGATCCAGGAGATCACGGTTCAATTCCCCAGTAGGGCACATGCCTGCATGCTGGAGGCAGCCAGTCAATGATGACTCCCTCATCATTGATGTTTCCATCTGTCTCTCCCTTCCTCTCTCTGAAATCAATAAAGACACATTTAAAAAAAATAAAATAAAGAATTGTTAACAACACAATAATAAAAAGATAAATTACCCAGTTTAAAAATGGGGAAAGGATTTGAATGGACATTTCTCCAAATATACAAATGACCAATAAGCACATGAAAAGATGCTTGACATCATTAGTCATCAGGAAAATTAAAACCACAATGATATACTACACACCAACTAGGAAGGCTAAAATTAAAATGTCAGATAATAGTAAGTGTTGGTGAGGGTGTGGAGAAACCTGAACCCTATTCCCATTTTTTGGCAGGAATGTAAAGTAGCGCAGCTGCTTTGGAAAAGTCTGGCAGTTCCTTAAGATGTTTTGACATCTTTTGAGATGTCAGATTTCTTTTAGATTGAGTATTAATATTATTATTTTTAAAATATGTTTGTTTTTATTTAAGGGAGAGGGAGAGAGAGAGAAACATTATTGTGGAAGAGAAACATCCAGCAGCTGCCTCTTGCTCGCCCCCTACTGGGGATTGAGCCTGCAACCTGGGCATGTGCCCTGACCTGAAATTGAATCAGAGACCTCTTGGTGCATGGGACAGACACCCAACCAGCTGGTCCACAATGGCCAGGGCAGATTGAGCATTATTAACATTAGGAATTTGCAGATGCCTTGTGTTCACTATTGGTTGGCCTTCAATTAGTCTCTGTTAGGGGTCAATGCATACCCTTGAGAAGTTTTTATTCTGAGGAGGCAGCTATCCAGTTGACAGAAGTCCATTCTTTGTTTTCTCAGAACACACTGTCATGTTTCAAGAGGCAGGCAAATGATGCTCTGGCAGAATAAGGATGAGAGTATTTTTCTTAGTTGTGTTTCCTTTTAGTCTTTGAAGCAAGTAAAGAATGTTGATGGAATATGAAATTGATTCTAGCAATGTACCTTGGAATTAAGGTAATGGAAGCATGTAAGTTTGGTACCAGATAAATGAATCCTGCAGATGATTTCTGTGGCTTTCTGCTATAGTTTAGAAATACTCTGTGTTCCTTTTAGGGTCATTGCCATTTGCAGAGTTGTGCATAATTGGTATTTGCTGTTTAAGTTAACAGTGCTTTGTGACTTAGTTATTATGTATGATTTAAAATCAAAAGTTTTCTTTGTCATTTCCAGTAACGATGATCTGTCTCTTCCCTTCCTTAGCCAATAGTTCTCTTTTTCATCATGTTAATAGAACAAATATGCTCAAATATTGAATTAGTTTGTCTTATTTGCCTATGTTGGTTTAAAATTTCATGGTCTTCTGTTGATTTCTGTCACATTGTTGACCATTTTTTCTCTTGTTCACTTTGTTTTAGCCACTGAACTTGATGCTCTTGTAATAAGCCAGCTGCTGGCTTTCTCTCCCAAGAGTTACCCTCAAAGGAAAGGTCATAAAATCTAAGAAATCAAAAGAATAATTAGCCCAGCCAGTGCATGGCTCAGCAGTTGAGCATCCACCTAGGATCCAGGAGATCGCGGTTCGATTCCTGGTCAGGGCCTATTCCCAGGTTGCAGGCTCAATCCCCAGCAGGGAGTGTGCAGGAGGCAGCCGGTCAATGACTCTCTCATCATTGATGTTTCTATCTCTCTTTCCTTCTCCCTTCCTCTCTCTGAAATCAATAAAGATATATTTATAAAAAACACCAAAAAACAAACAGAACAAACACACTAGAAGTGCCAGCACTTAAGTAGGAAACTTAAAATGACAAAAATAGAGGCGAAATATTTGAGGAAATAATAGAGATTGATTTCCCAGAATTAAAAAGAGATGAAAGATCTCAGATTTATATATATATA